TATATGTACCGTACAAAAACAGTTTTTTTGAAGTTTAAATTTAAAATCTTGGGTTATATCAAATCTGCACCCATTCATTGTCTCAGTGGACCGTTAACTCTTTTCACTTTGGTGTTTCTTGCGATGACACCTGTTGCTATGACGACGCTCCAATAACAATTGAGACAGCGATTCTTTTAGTATTCAGTAGATAATTAAACTGTTTAATCTACAAGACTGATGTACGAACATAGACTGACACGACTGACTTTGTGTGTTGTGAAGTGAATGTTATTTTTACAATCAAATTAAAATAAAAATGCAGCACATCTTGCCGTCCGAGCGATAAAAAAAGCGACGAAGATAACATTAGGACAGGAAGACTTTGACGTAATACATATCTTACCGGGGTGATCACTGATTACAAGTCATCTTTGTAAAACAAAAACTCGTAATTTTAAACAAAATATGCAAACATGCAAAATTAAGATTTTATGTTAAGCTCGGACAGTGTATTGAATTAGTTACAGTACTAGTATTGTTTTTGTATCTGGCTATTTTGTAATTGACTGACATTCATCGAATATCAATTGAATTCGGACATTTTGCAAAAATGTGGGAAGGCCGGAATTTATAAAAAAAAAAAAAAGATCACTGATATGAAGAAATCGACAAGTATGGCAAGACAAAAGCTTGACGCCATGTTTATTGTGTCGTCTATTAATTTCTAATATGCGGAATATGATCGATTTAATTTCACGACACGGGTCTTCTTTTATTTCGCAGTACACTCATGTGTATATATACACATCGCAGACTAATATCGTTATCGACGTGACGTGAATACTAATATTTGCAATATTCTCAGATGATCGAAATTAGTTTTCCGAGTTTAGAGGTCGATCAGCTGCAGTACTACATTGCGTCAAACCTGTTTACTGGTGTATTTTTTTCTTTATAACACATTTATAACATTTAAATTCCTATGGGCAATCAACTTTGTAAATTATTCAGTAGCATTCCGAAAACAGAACCGGGTTCTTAGATTTCCATGGAAACGCACTCGGTCAATGAGTCGAAAACAAACACCAGACTCTAACGACCAAAAGCAAATCGCTTAGGATTTCATGAAAGCAATTCGTCACCTAGTTGATATAAGGTACTAATTTATTAACGCGAAGTAAAACGTGGTTATAAAATACGAGAAATTGTGCTTGAACAGCGATGTTTACATCGAATAACGCAACGATGATAACATCGAAGGTCCCAAAGATGGTTCCATTAGTAATGCTCTGAATAATGCAGGAAATAGTATAATTTGATTGGCAATTGAACACAATTGTTATTTTCTTACTTGAGGATTTATGACAATTGATCCCACTAAAGGGAAAATATGTTAAAATGACAGTTACACTCGGGACATATCATTGCCCAATAAACAGCACAATGCTCCACGAGAATAAATTGCAAGTGCACGTGCAAAATAAGAAAATGTGTATTTTGTAAACTTCTGTTTATGGAGTCAGTTAAAAATATCACCTGAACCGCAGGTCATCAACCTTTAAACTTATACAGAGCAAATAAGAGTCTTGAAACAAGCACAAACTTGCCAACGTAAACTTTAGTGATTGTTCCGCGGAGCAACACAATCAGATTAGAAACTAACGTATGTACAGACTCCGGACGCTTTCAATAAAAGACTGTATGCGAGAGTCTGGAGGCGTGTACACCGGTGGTCGTATATCTCAAAACCACTGGTGCCTCCACCTACACTGTGACATCATCATGCAACGCAAAATAATGCAACGTCTTACTGAACTTATACATTATCATCAATCGTAGAATAAGTACGTTTTTTGGCAGATCTATTGTGACCGGAGACAATGACGGCCCCACAGATGTCGTGCATTATCTATAACCAGCGGAGGGACGCCGTTATATTGAGTAAACTTGAGACTTATATTTCGATGTGACATTTTGGTCAACCTCATTTGACTGCCAATGCTCTTCGAGCAAGCACGCCTTCTGATAATTGCCAAGCGGAAAAGTAAGAGTCATTGTAATACAATACTGTTTTTGAAATATACTACGCAAAACATAGTATCAAAAGAAATATATAAAATATATAAAAGTACATTCACACGCAAATAACAATCATGAATTCTGTTTTATATTTCACGTAATCCGCGAAGGGTAATTCGAGTACGGTGTCGGTATATTGTGCAAGTTATAGTAGTAGTCGAGCAGCACTATATAGACTAATGCACATTGTCACGTTCAGCTATGGACGATATATTGTATACAGTCCACGGTTCAACTAGACCTAAATAGGCTTAAGTAATTTGTTAAGTACCTGTTGCATTCTCTAATTTTATGCTTGCCTTCGTATGTTTTGAGAAATATCGAAGCAGGGTGAAAACAGGTGTTTACGGACAGAATTCAGTGAATGTGCACGACCAGGAAGACTGGCATGCCGCCATTCATTGAAAGGAACGTCTAATATCCCACGAGTTAATAACACAGAATCGAACCCCACTGTCACATGTGACAACTATGCGAGCCACTATTCACGTTTACCTATACTGTGTAATACACACAGGATGTGCCCTATATATCTTGCAGTATAATATCCCAACGGGCGGGATAAGTTGATATGAAATGAACCATTAAGCGGTCTATTATGATAATTGTAAAAGTATTGTGTCTGCCTTTAGTGTGGATGGTATCGTTAAAGCCATTGTACCGGTTACTGGCATTCAATGAATACAGATTAGTTACAACAACAGCAACAGGGACCCTAGGGACCCCACCTTTGGTTACCCATGGAACTATAGTTACCGAAGACTCGTTGCATGCATACATTGCCTGAAGTCATGTCAGCGTCATCGTATATACTGGGCTAGCAAATAAAATAGCATGTATTCGTTGCATGTAGCCACATCACGGATACTCGTCCCGCAAAGCCAATCTATGGTACGATACAACAATGCTCGGCATACGCGTAAGTGGCGCGCATGTCTCATCAAGCACACCTGGCCAATGCTTGTTTGTTGTTGCTACACAAACAACTCACTTATTACTATTTCACAACTGTGGTCGTTATTTTTTTCAACTTAAAGCTATATAATGACGACAGTTTCGCGATTGGCAACGGCACAAACGTGTTTGAGATAATATAAGCCCCGTGTAACGTCAACAGACATTCACACCACTTTGCGTGACAACAGTTTAAGTATCGTGTCGGTTTCATGACGCATGTCCACGGCTACATGACACCGTGAAGCTGACTTGAGATACAGGACCCAACGAGAAATTGAATAATAGTAAATATGTGGGTTATATTCTATTACATGCAAGTATAACTAGTACGTAAATGGTATCCCTTGGGAGCACGTCGGTTACTTCAGTAACCCTAACGCACAGAGTAGGTTGACGTTTGAATATTCTCTCAAATAATACTGTAGAAACGCGTCTGTCGAATATCAAGTTTAATATTAAACGTAAATATTTCACAAAACTTCAGAACAAAATCATCCTAATGAGTTCTGCGACCGGAATAGCAACCAGGCGTAAAATTAACGATCTAATTATAAGTAGCGTATTTTCAGACGTTATTAGAATGAAAGTATTACTATCTGTATAATAATATATGCTCTTCTTATGATAGGTTGCCAAGTGGAGCTCAGCTTTAAATTTAATAAAAAAAAATGCAGACAAAATATCCGTATTCCTGCCTTGACTAAATAACTGAACAAAGAATGAATCTCTATATCTGCATTATGCTCCGGGCAGTCACAGTAGTTTTACCACGAGATTAATGAACATCTAATGAGCTAATTACATGTAGCAATGCAACATAGTTCCGATACTGTGACTCTGAATTGAAAGGACTTGAATTTCAATCAAACGTGCAAACTAATATCCAGGAGACTCTAAATATTTTGTGTGTTGGTACTTTTGCCGATTAAAGGGTTTTGGTTGAATAAATAACGCATATAATTATAAACTACAAACGCAGAATATTAAAAGTACCCGGATACATGTACAGCGAAAACATTTCCGTTAAGAAAAGAGATCTTCCCAAAAAATAATTTCCATTTAAAGCTTGTGACTGGGTAAAACATAACACCAAACTTAATAGGTTTTATATAAATGCAGTTTTTTAAACCTTAAAAAAATATAACCATATTGTTTATTCTTTGCAGTTACTCCTGAGATATGTCACCGTCTTCTCTTGCATCACCGCGATGCACTGGTCAGGACACTGGGTCCTCGTTCCACGCTATATTATTTATTTCAAGAAAGAGTGTTCTCTAAGGAGATGGTTGACGACATCAGGAAGAAGGGGAAAGGAAACCAGGAGGATACGATGAATGAGGTCATAGAACAACTTTTACAGAGAGGCGTTCGTGAGTTTGAAGTGCTGGTGAAAATACTCCGTAAACTGGATCATAATCTTTTGGCTGATATTATGGAAGAGAGGAGACTATCAGGTGAGTAGTTGTGATGATGACGTCATAAGTTGAGTTACATAAATAGGCACTGCACAATACTGGCACCCGATTCACGATGCCAAATGATTTATTCACGACTAGCGTTTTATCGATGTTGTTCACCAGCGTGTCGATTACATACAATAACGAACGCATGGAGTAGATATTAGGTTACAAACAACTAATCATGATAAGCACGCGACTGGTGAAAATTTATGCGAGCAATATATATGCCTTTAATAATTCAGCCTGAGTGCTAATTATAATGTACTAAAACACACAGTCTTGTTTGCGTCTCAGACAACTATTATTATTAGTTGTCCGAGTTTGCATTACAAGCGACAGGTAGTGTCCATTTCCCATCGTTCAAAGACAATAATCTGATACGTCGCACTATAACAAAACGCATATTTGTTTCAGGTTTGATACACGTGACGGAACCCACGAGTCGAAAGTTAGGGTATCACTGGAAGAGAATAGCCACCGATTATCTTGGTCTAGGACCGATGATTCCGCTCATACAAGACAGATACCCAGAGAAGCTCCGAGAGCAGGCGTTGTTTATGTTATTGATGTGGGAAGAACAGGACGGGATCGGAGCAAATCCCAAACGGCTTATCGAAATACTAGAATCGTGCAATATGCGAGCGGCAGCAGGTAAGTATTCATGAGCTCACGTTACATTACGCCATCTGCAGTTGTATAGCAACATTACTTTGTTTTTCCAAATATCCCCAACCAACACGAGAAAGCTGAAAACCCGGCTGTTTGACCTCGTTCGAATAAGTTAATTTAAAGCTAAATCAGTTTTAATATAATTCTATTTCAGACAGTGCAGACACAATCATTGGAGGAGGTAAAAAAAAGAAGAAGAAAAAGAAAGGAAAGAAAGGTAAGATTTATGAAAAAACAGAGAGGCTAGCACGACACCTTGTTTAAGCCAGTGCTTGTTGTAATGTATTCAAATTGTTTTAAGCACAACAAATGTGTAACTGTGAACCCTTTAAGTAAGCTATGGCAAGAGCGAAAAATAACCGAGAAAAAAATATTAACAAAGCCGGCAAAAAACTTCCTTGCACGCTACACGCCAAGCTATATGATAGAGGGCGTCATTGTCTGGGCACAGTCAGAGCATTCTCTATGGCTGCTTATGTGGTGATGAAAATTAAATTTCTTTTGATATTTCACCATTTTTTTTATTTAAAGAGTGTCATACGTAAACAAAAATAAACCAAATCCTGTATTAATTGCTCTATTAGAAGCACATGCATGTAAATGACAGAGTGATGTAGCATGCAATAAATACAACCCAATATTTATTCTGAATTAACAGAGAAAGAAACAAATGATCTATATATTTTGTTTATACATTAGCTCACAGGAATGCTATGCCAATTACGACGTATATTGCCAGAATATTAAGGCTGTATTCGTATACATTTTCATTTGAAATACAAGTAGTTGTAAATAGAAGTATGGCAAAAATCATCAAAATTCTGTCTGTCATTAATTTTCATGAGTAAGACTACCTAAATTTAACATTGGCACTACCATGGACAAAACAAGGGTTCACTAGTCACTTTGTGAAAATTATGTGAATGTTAAAAAATTACAGTATTAGAGTTTTCTGAACTAATTTCGAAACAGAAAAATTGAGCAATTTTCAATTAAAAAAATCGTGGAATGGGGAAAACCTTGACTTGATTCCAAAATAGATGTAAAAATTAGCTATCCCGCCCTCTGCATAGAAAAGGGGACACAATTTGTTGCACTTATGGCCAAACCACAAGGCTGGAGGCGGTTTAGATGAACTCACATGGAGGTCAGACACTATCTGATTAAAATAACACCATCACCAAGTCCATGTAAACATTGTCATCAATTGTAATGAGTAATGTGACAGGCCTTGGAAGAACAATATAATAAACATTGCTGAGTAAACCACTTATATTTAACATTAAACACTCCCACAGTCAAGGAATGTAGTTTTTCAATAGAAAGTAGGCAGTAAACCACATAAATGTACAGGATAAGGAATATACCACAATTTTTATTTGTACTTCACAGGAAAGAAGAAAAAGAAAGCCAAGTCAGCCTAATGTTCCAATGACATATTTTTATGAGAGCACAAATCAGCGATGAATGACAGTCATCCACACCTATGCAACTTCAATCACAAGTGCTCGTCAACCAAAACCGTTTGAAAATTGCAAGACATTTCAACAAGAAAACCAGTAACAATTTTGAAGGCCATGCCAAAGATTAAAACAATAGTTTTGTCATCAGCCGAAATGCTCTGGACATTCGATTACATATTTCACAAAATATACAAGGCAATTATCTAAAGTTCACCTTTCAATGAGTTTATTTTCAGCTAGATAGAGGTACCTTGATCCAGGTTAACAAACTAAGATAGGGGGGTTGTCTGAATACATCTAATAAACAACTGGATAAGGGGTTTTCATGGCCTATCAAGCTAATATAAAACTAGATAGGGGGACTGTTTGAGTACATCAAGCCAATATACCTTACTGGGTAGATAGGGAGTTTCCATGGTCGATCAAGCTAATAAACAAATATGGGGTTGTTTTTGACAGATGTCGCTATTCAAAGACAGTTTTATCCATGACAGTTTAAGAGCATTTGCTCTATATTTCTATTCAGAAAGAGTTTCAATCAAGCACAGTTAACAAGCAGCTGAGCCAGCAATAATCTAGAGAATATAATGTTCTTGCCATTTTGTCAACGAATACCACAGACATTGAATAAGAATACAATTATGAAAACATTACTCGAGAAGAATACAGTTTTGAAACCAAACATTGGAGCAGAATAGGGATTGAGAGCAGTATTAGAGTAGGTTTTGTTCAACTCCAGATGAGAAGATTCACATGGTTATTATTTCATGTGGTTATTTCTTCTTTTACAAAATGAAAATATCTGGATATTATGATGGCATAGCAGACATTAAAAAATTAATTTTGTTTCTTTGCATCAAGTATATTTTAATCTTTATATGTTTACTGTTGAGCCACATCTTTGTTCTGTATATTTTAATCCATTCAATATGAATGATTAATCACAGAATAATATGCCACATATATTTATTACAAGTACTCGTAGCTGTTTGCACTGCTAAAAGTGTGTGCTCTTACGTTAATGACAGTGGTCACAATTCATATTTTAACGAAACAGCATACAGTGAATGCACACTTCCATAATGTAGTTATTTGCTGTATTGGGAGTACGTCTCTGATATGTAAATGAGTAAATGAACAAGTTCACTTATAGCATACTGGATCATTTAGACACGACTTATTATGACCACTGACACACCTGTCATTTACGTAATAGAGCGAATACAGTAGCTAGAAATGAATTCTTAGTTCCAACCTGAATCTCTTGTTTACTTTTGCAGCTTACCCTATGTATTGGTACCACCAGATCACTTTTCTCAGTATTATACAGTAGATGGCCCTTTAATAAAGAATGGCTTCTCAGTGTGTAAAATTTATAACAATATCCTATAAATCTAATGACTATTTTTCACAAAATTATAATTAGTTATTAAAGATTTAATATATTGCACTCAGGAACTGTTTGATTACTTAGTCTGACAAAGTCAGTTTTAGCTTTATATAGAAACGGGTCTGAAAAATTATTACACAAATGCTCATGTATATGCATGATATGTCTTGTGTGGTTTTGATGCATTCTAGCCCTAAAATGGTTGCTATTCGGCCATCTTGAAATCCGATCAAGACACAAATGCACATCTACGATATGTCATCTGATGTATGTCTAAAGTTTGAACTTGATTGATTCAGACATGTCAGAACTGCATTCTTCAAAACAAAATTTCAAATCGGAAAGATAAAATGCCTTGCATCAAGGTCCCAGTGTGTTCAATTTATGTACCAATAAAATGAAACAAAACTGGGATCTGGTTTCGTAATTGATTAAAGTAGAAAAAAGATTAGTAAAATTTCCACATTCTCAGTATAGTGTTTTTTCTTTACTTTATTTGAAATTTAAAGCTAAGCTAAAACAATTACACTGGTGTTGGTTTCATATTCCACTTGTGATTCCATTCTGGAAAGGACATTGTTACATTCTTCAATTACAAACTTTCTCCACTCTTAAGCCAATGAGGCACATTTTCATGAATATCTCCAAAAATATATAAGCCAACCACACAAAAACTGAACTGAAATACATAGTATAAATACATAGAGAACATTTCAAAGTTTGAGAAATGATAACTTGAGTAATTTGTATGCAACCTAACAGCAAGAAAGTGTTAACAACAATGTCAGTCATAGTCATAAACTATACCAAGGAACTACATTATCAAGTAGCTGTTGACTTTTATTTGCAATGCCATTTGGCGTCGCACGTTTGTGTTACACAAGTCTATGAGAGGGACCATAGATATTCTGTGCCAATAAATATCCTACTAAATTTAATGACACCACAAAGACTAAAAAAAAAAAATCAGAAATAAATGTTTAATGGAGGCACACTATGCCAAACTGTATTTGTTTTGCTGTGATTTTTAATTACTCTACACAAAACTCGAATCAATCTATGTATGTAACGTGTCATTTACGTAACATTTTTCTAATAGTGCAAATATGCTACAAGTCACATATACATGATTTAGGTTACATGTACATTTTAAATCCAGAAAGCTAACTACTATATATTTTTAATATCAGAAATTTGTCATCAAGTGTCTGGGACATTTTCAGACATGCAACATGATTATTTGCAAATTCGAAACATAAATATATAGATTTATTATATAAACTGATGCTATTTTTCTGTAAAAAAGCTCAATAAAACTCAATTCACTTCAAAATATAAATGCATAATTAATGTGATTAATTTCACATCTTTCGGTATAAATGTTTTATATGCAACAATGAACGATATAATGTTATCAACAATCATTATAACTAGTAGACAGTTTCATGACTACAGTTAAAAAATATGGTGAGCTTGCCCTTATGAAATTGTTTTTCAATAAACTGTAAAACAAAACATGCTTACACGACATACGACAAGCAGTTTTTATGCTAAAAATTCAATTTATCGAGCATGATTTAGTTTTTCTCTTGCAATAGCCACCACTCCTTAATTTAGTGTGTTTTATATAAGAGGTCAATTGTTATTTACCAATGAAATTGTCTGATACAAAGAACACTTTCAAGATTTCAATTTCAAAACAATCTGAAGTCAATCTGTGTTTCATTCATATATGAAGTCTGATAGTTGTGGCTATTTCAGCCATGCATCAAATTTAAATTTATTAAACTCCAATGATTAGAATTGGAAAAAAAAAAACCATTGATTCAGTGTAATAAGTAATATTAATGGCTGAATAGTTTTGAATCAATACTGCAATGTAACATTGGAATGAATCAAAACTAGGAAATTTTTCATAAGAACTGTAAAGCGCATTACTTTCATGAGAGGCAATGTTTGTTTTTGTGAATTTGGTATGTCAAGGAAACCTGCAAAATGAGGTAGCAGAAAACTTTATAATTATGATCTTAAAAAATGATGACTTTTGCAAAAGTTCTCATCCATGAATGTAGTCAAATTACCATGAACTAAAAATTTACAATTTACTCTTATACCGTATTAATCCGGGTAAGAGCCAATGCCCGGTCAAACGTCCACCCCCCACTTTTGATACAATAAAGGAATTGAGGTCATGTCCTGGCATACGCCCAGGGAATCTTTTTCTACAAAAAAAAAATAACAAAAAACTATTTTGTTTTGTTGTATTAAGAGTTGATCTCCTTGCAGTCTGATTCTGATAAACATTCTTGACAAATAATTGTCAATTATTGCTGTGACAGCAAAATGGTAATTTTGTGTTCTGCATTCAGGGCAGTGCACCGCTGTTTACGTAATTTACTTCTCATTTTCAAGTTTTTTATCTGAATTATATTAGTCAGCAAGTCTTCAAAAATGTATATTAAAGCAGCAACGGTAGTTCTCTTTTTAAAATATGCCGTGGCCCTGAAAAAAGCTGTTGTTTGGTTTGTGCTTCCTTTGAAATGATTCAAGAAAATCTTACAGTAAGCAAGCAAGTGTCGCACTCGTTGGCTTTAGCATCATCGACAATGAAACCAATGTTGCAATATTGTAACAACCCATACCTGGGAGAGTGGTTGAAATCATGTTTTGGCTTTATAACATTTTTGGTAGCAGCTTGCGAATCCACAACTGGGGCTAGTACTTTTGAAATGTCACGCCGAAACTGCCATTTTTTTAACACCTTTCATCACAGCTATTGCATTTCTGTCATGAAATTATTCTTCTGTTGTTGGAGAAATAAAAATTCTTCCTATTTCAAGCCCACCGCGATATCCATATAGTGAGACATTCCAACCTCTGGAACTTGCTGAATGAAAACTTTCACCACGATTGATAAGCGCCTAGTCTGATAAGAAAGCAACGTTGACTTGACCTTTATCATGAAACACTAGTAGTGATGTCATTCTTAGCCAATTCAATAAAGCAGATGCTTAAAGGTCAAAGATGATTGACAGACTGTAGACAAAAGCATCGTGTGCCATGGCAGTCGTTTGCCGCAATCGCATTTTTCTTGTCTCTTTAATGTGTTTAGATATGAATGATATTAAAGTGCCAAGGTGACAGACATCAACAAACTTTAGGACGAAGCTGAAGGGATTTTGTTCAACGATGATAGTGTCGCCGACTTGGACTTCGAGGGTTTTAACTTTGACGAAGATAGAGATGAACTTACAAATAGAGATCTGAGATTTTTCCTACAAACTTTTGTAATCTTTACTGTGTAAATTTGTAAATTATCGTTGTTCTTGTCTGACTATTTGTCAAAACCGGAAAAAAAGTTTACGTTGTTTAACCCCTGACATTTTAGTTCATTTTGAGTTCACGCGTATTGGACATGTTTGTCGAATGATTCTTCACTGTCGAATATTACTATTTCTGGTTTATTTGTCACATTATAAGTAACACATTATATTGATTTACTTATGATGTTGCATATTGTTCATTTTTTTCTATTGCATGGTTTGTTTGTTTTTTTGCCAGGGGATGTCCGGGCATAGGCCCACCCCTATTTTTTGGCAATTTACCATGTTCAGGACCCTGGGCTTTTACTTGGATAAATACGATAGTAAGATGAATGAAGCCACCAAAATAATAAATTGAAAAGTAATATCTGCTAAATCTTAAACATTATGCAAACATAATAACACATTGTATGGAAAAAGAAAACAAGTTCAATGTCCCATTTTTGAATAAGCACACCTACTTAAATTACTAAACCATAAAGTTTGTAAATTGTGATTTAACAACAAATTAGTTGCCATTTTAAGTCTTAATTTGAAAATGAAAAAACAGATTCTCTAATTGATCACTATCGTTAGTATAACAAGAAATCAAATTGTAGATTTTTATTTAACAAACATTTATTGATATTCGAATTTCACCACTCCAGATAAACATCCCCCATGCGAAGATCATCAAATAACACTTTTTCTTCCCGGTGCCCACTGTATGAACAACTATCATCGCTGTCTGTGCTGTCATCGGAATCGCTTTCATCTAACAGGGAAGCTGTCAAAACAAAACAACATCATTACTGTAGGGGCATCACAGATATATATACTATATTCATTCCATTAGAAGCACATCTCCAAAAGAAGTGTACGTAAATGAACAAATAATTACATTTATTATGTGGTTAATGTTAACAAAAGGTGCACCCTCTATTGTGCACACAGAATCTGTGCAATACAGAGTCAATATGACAGACAATATAAACATTACACCATCGAGTCACCAATATTTTATTTCAAAAAAGTATTTTTGAAAATATGTCGTGTGAGAAAATCAATATCATAGAACAGTACCACCCCAAACATGGCCAGTCATATATCTGACATCAAACAATTCTATTATTGGTCATAGAGGGCGCACTTCTTCATGATTTGACTACATTATCTCTCAACCCACCACTCTGCTGTAATGTGCTATCTAATAGAAACAAATACTGTATTGACAGTGAACACCAATTGCATGCATTATTATTCATCTCCAAAAATAATGCACTTTTTCTCTTATATCAACTTAAGTTTTGAAACACATCCGAAAAATTTGCACCATCACTTTTTTTTTAAATTGAAGGCGGGCACATCTATCAGCAGTCTTAGAAATATTTCATCATCACTTCTGATGTAGAATGTGCATTCCTAGTAAGTTAGGATATATCTGTCTGCCATTTGGGAAATATTGCTTCATCATTACTTATTTGGAAATTGTGTTTCCTAATAAGGTAGGATGAGATGTATAATTTATAATTTATTATTGAGTATTGGTGCAACATGACAAATGCTAGTTTGTTTCTTAGATCATACTGCAACTAAGAAATCTTTACCATTCAGTCTGCGTCGTGATTTCTCCAATAATTCTCTTTGAAACACCTTTTCTGTATCAGAATCATCATCCTGCCATCTATCAAAGTCAATAGATATATAAGGTACCTAAAAAGCAATACAGTATTATTCATATAATTCTATTGAGAAAGTTGGTAAGGGTACAAAATACACACTTTTAGACAATGCAAATTACTTACTTGTGGCAACATCTACATAATATGAGGTTATTACGAGAATACCTCAAGTATGCACGAAGACAGTTCAGCGGGAGTATTGACCAACGCGCAACAGAGGTCGATGCAACGGCGTACTGTCTGAGTACATACTTTGAGGTATCCTCGTACTAACCTTATTATTAAACATCTTTTCCTTCCAAGGATACATCATGGGAATGCCGAAATCCAAAAAGTTTAGAACAGAATCAGCGAACTTCTTTGTGTGGAGTCCAGTCAAACCCTGGTAGAAGCCATGTTTCTTTTTATGATTAGAGGATGCTTACGCACGTAATCATTCCATATTAAAAACTAAAATCAAAGAAAGCTTAGAAAGAACTCCCATGTGCTGGGGGTATTGGAGACACATTAAATAAAATTTGAAATTACTTAGCTGAAAACTAATTATGCAAATCAGAAAATTAATATGAACAGATTTGAGTGTAAAACTTATGAGGTCTGCGCAATGTAACAGAAAATCTATGTACCAAGTTTTATTGAAATGTGATTAGAACTAAACAAGTCATTGACAATGACACAGTCAATTATTATTTAAAGTTTTGAAAGTTCTCTTTGTGCTCGTAATATTAAAGCAGAGGGGTTGTCGCGAGCATGTCCTTGAAACTTGAGTTCCAAGTGGCGTATACAACAGATTGTTTATTTACATCAAAACATGTGTTCCGTGTAGTAGTAATATGGCCAAAAATAAAAATAGCCGTTATTTGGCCATCTTTGATCTGATTATGAAACACACTGACATGTATGATGTATGTGCCAAATACAAATGAAAATGGTGAATAAATTGTGGAAATATAGCAGTAAGGCCAAAAAGTCAGATGGCTGTCAAACGGCCATCCTTGACCTGATTTGAAACAAATTGTCATGGACATGCATCCTAACATGTATAAAGTACATGTATGTGCCAAATTTGAATGAAAACTGACAGAGCACGTCTAAGAAACTGCATAAAAAAACAAAAACAAGATGCCTGCCAGTCGACCATCTTTGATCCAAATGCGAAATAAAACGTCATGGACATGTATCCTAACATGTATAATCTATGTACAAAGTTTGAATGACAACTGACAAAGCATGTCCAAAATAGACAATTTTTTGTAAATACAAGATGGCTGCTAGTCGGTCATTTTGAATCGAATTGC